GAAATCTCCTCCAATTACGAGGTTATGTGTAAGCTCATATTTTTGAGTAATCTCAAATAGTTGGTCTATACATTCACTGAACTCTTCAAATTTGTCATTTTCTGCTTTTGTTGGCAGATATGCAGAGACTAATAAAATCGGATTTTTTAGGGCTAGTTCAATACATTGAATTCTATTGTTTCCATCAATTATGGGTTTTACATACTGATCAATTGAGCGGTCCCATATTATGGCCACACCTCCATATCCCCTGACTGATTTTATCAATAAATCACATGTGTTTTTCCCAGAGTTAATCGACTTTCCTTTGCCACAAAAATGTGAATTTAATTCATCTAAGAGATTAAGCTCATGATCGAATAACCAATGCTCTTGAAGTAATATAATATCTACTTGATTTCTCATGTTCTCAATAAATGGGGCTATAGTCTTTACATTTTTACAATTAAAAGATAAAATTCGTAGTTCACTCTGCTGTGGAGTCGTCTTAATAGGAGTTGGGCAAGTTATAGTTGATTTTGACGTATCCCTAAAAAATGATTCTGGTTTTGCTGAGGTGGTTGATCAAACATATTATGGAAGGAATTTGGAGCAGTCAAATGGGACTTTCTTTCCATGTAGCTATTCTGTGACAAATGCTGGGGATTGTTGTAGTATGGATCTCTGTTGATTGTAGTTGTTTGAGGAATTTGGTTTATGTATCCATTGTGTAGAGGTTGATGTATAGGTATTGACTGTTGTTCATTAAAATATATAGGTTGTCCCCATAGTGGAGTCGGTGGTATACTAGTGTTAACTATTTGGGGTTTCGTGCAACGTTTGCTTTGATTTTGAGTTTGTAAATTGTAGCTAGAATGATTACTCGTAGTCGCTGTTTTTGACCTCGGTACTGCAGTGTTACTTGTAGGAACAGAACCAGTCATTGGTGATCCTTGGATGATTGGTGTACTATTTTGTAAATCAGAGTTGTCAGTACATGTTGTTTTCCTTTGATTAGTTGGCTGCGAGTTACAGGTATTATTGACATTTTCATTAAATTGGTTGATAATATTGTCAAATTGGGTATCCATCTGTTTGAGGATAAATCCCGAGACTTTCTCATGTAGCTTCGTAACTGTTTGTTCAATATATTTGCTTGAGGAGCCATGATCATGAGGAGTATGTTGATATTGTTTATCATCTGTAAGATTGATCAGCTCACATTTTTTCTGTAATATTTTATTTGAGTTTTCTAACTCATTAATTTTCATTTCGAGTTTTGTGACGTAGGATTGTAACCATATTCTTTCCGTTTGCATTTCTTCATTTAGTTTTTCTCTTATCTTTAGTTCTTCCTCTCTTTTCTTTAGTTTTTGTTCTCTCTGCCTTAAGTCACTCATTTTGAGTTCTTTTGTTTTCTTGGATAGATCTCCATCTGTGTTTGGATGTTGAGTAGTTTGATTAATGTTCTCAGGATCTACATAGTTGTTTTGACTAATTGTCCCATTGTTACACTGTAAGGAGTCGTCTTGAGCAGAAACATTGGTACATGTTGTGGGTATCTGCGTTATAGGGTTTGATAGTATACAGTTCTCTTGACTTAAGTCAAACCCTGGATTTTTTGTAGTATAATGTGAGGCACTTGCCTGCGTTGGAGACGTTAATGTCATTACTTTTGTTTGTTCATCTGGATCAATGTTTATTTCACAATTTACACACGTGTACTCGAAACCATTATATGACGCACAGTAAATATGACATGGTTGAGTACAGATTGAGCAACGTATAACTTGTGTATCAATAATGTTATTGCATATATTGCATACGTTGTGTACTTCTTCGTCTAATAGAGCCTGTATTCTATCATGACAGTTGTGATTCTTATCTGATTGATTAGAGTCCATAATTGCATTAGCTATGGACTTTACTGTGTTTGATCCCATTATGTTGTTTGTCTGATTATCTGTTAAGCATAGCTTACATGTGTAATAGTCTATTTCAGATAATTTTTCAACAGTTTGTATTTCAGATTCAGACAGTTTTATGCATCTATAGTGAATCCAGTGTTGCCCTTTGTCGCAAAAAATTGCCCTTGTTTGTACATTTCGCTTGCATTTGCTACATTTAGCACCATTTTGATCTTGTATGATTTTGCAGGGTTGGTCCATTATAGCTTGTTGAGTCGGTAACTTTGTGTCATCTTGAGGTGTTTGTTCTAAACCAGATAGTTTATATAGTTCTTTTTCTAGTTTCTCGTTTAGTGATTTTAGATTCACTTTATTGCCATTTAGGACTACCTCTTTTATGATTTTATGTATTTCTGGTATGTCTTCTTTCGTGAAGATATGGACTGCTCTTCCATTGACCAAAAATTTGCAGTTCGTGTAATATAGTGTGATAGTATATTGATGTTGTTCTTTCTCATATACTTTAATTACCTTACTAACAGTAAGACCCCTTGTATCCTGATCTTCTGTTACCTTCACATGTCGATTATTTGCTATTGTTGTATTAAAGTAATGAGGGATGGCATTTTTTATGAGTTCAAATGTAACTGCATCTGCAGTGCCCACTACTCCACCTTTTGTTTGTTCGTAAATAATATGAACTTCTCTTTTCGTAGCCAGAATTTTTTTGGAGACTGCTTTATCCAAATTTAAAGTGAAAGTTTTTTGTCTACATACATCCGAACTAGTTGTTTTGTTCAATGAGTGGTTTGCTATTGATATATCAGGTATGTCAGATCTATCATTCATGATTGAGTCCATTTTCCCTTCTTTAGTTTGTTTTATGTATATGTCCTTTTCTTTATATGAGTTTCTAGCTTGATGTTTAGAAAAACTCTCTCGGATTTGGTAAAAGTGTTTGTGGTGAAACCGCTAAAATGTATCTATATTTACAATAATTCTATAAGCATATCTAAAACTAAACCAATGATTAAAATCTATGCTCACTGTATAGAGATTAAGTATCCTTAGAGTGTTGTTTGTGAATAGGGCTTCCCTTTTTCACATATAATAGCTCGTTTGTTGATATAAAATGTTAAAATTTTAAGAAATAAAATAATTCTCGTTACTCATATGTTGTCTCTATGTGACCAGTAATATCCTTATTAGAAATGAAATATCAGATTAAGTGGTCTTCGTGTTGTCCAATATGGTACACTATGTATTGAACAGGGCTTCCCTTATTCATATAGTATTGTACCTTTTGTTTTTGATTAGTATGTTGTAGGTAAAAATAGGTTAATTACAGCGGAAATTGTATGAACTAAAAATATTTCATGTAAAAATGGATTATACAGCTATTAAAATATTTTGTGATGGGTTTCGATCCTTTAAAAGATTCCAAATATTAAAATCTTACTGTAAATCAGATACTTGTGTGATTGTAGTACTTATTCATGGGAATATCCTCTTCATATATGCAACAGGTAGAGCATGAGAGACAGTGAATAGGGCTTCCCTTGTTCACTGGTTGTTTCTGAGGTTTCTTGCTAACTTGACCAATCGGTGTAGCCAGAGGCGAGAGATAGGACGTTTAGGATGTATACCGTCAAATAATGATTTGAAGCTGATTTTATATTGAGTTCTGGAGCGTCGACGTTGTTTTGATGAGATGACTTGGTCTTGGGCAATATGTGGCACCAATGCGTTTCTATTGAGATGAGTTAACTGTTGGTTGAAATAATCGATAGCAGATTTTAACTTGGTATCCGTATCTTTGTATCGGATTGTACTTTCAGTATTGAATTGATAACCTCTAGATTGATTCCAGATATATATTGAGAAATATGGGCAATCAATTGCTATAACAGTGGCGGATGGATTGGCAAGGAGTATTTTGTTTTTCACTGTTCTATATTCTGTTAATATTTGTTCAATAGATTGATAGGGATGATTGATGATGTCTGAAAATCTACCAGTTTTTTTTGATATCTCACATGTACCAAACCAAAGAAATACTATAGGATTTGTGGCTGTTTGTATGTTTCGTACAGCTGTGTTGACTATGTTTGAATGTATAGTCGCACCTTTTTCAGAGAATATATGTATAGAGGATCTAAATCGCCCTGGTATCACAGGTTTTATATAGTTGCCTTTACTGTCTGTGATAAGATATATTTCCGGTTGATAAAGATTTGGGTCTAGATTGGATTCTTCAGCTATGAGTTTGCTTGTCTGTTTTTTAATTTGCAGTATAGACATGTATGTATATCAGTTTTAGTAGAGGTATACGATTTGTCAGTGACAGCAAACACAAAATAGATATTCAAAATTTCTGTTCGTAGTAATATTGTTAAAATGTTATTTACACAACCAATATATATATACACATAAAAGTTTACGCTATATCACACTATTCTACATTAGTCTACATAGCCAAGCAGGAAATATCAGATTCACTAGTACGTGTCAAAGCAAATGTTAATATGATGACTATGATGATTATATGAAGCGGTTACAAGGTTATTACTGCAATCCGTTCATAAAAAGTATGAAGGTACAAAGCACGCTATGTTTGAGTGGTTTTATACTTGTTAAACTACCTTTTGGTTAGCTTGATTTTCGGAAATTATTGTATAAACTATTTTGGAAGAAAGCCAAATGTACTTTCAAATAGATAGATAAATGTTTATATGCTTATAGTTGTCTGGAAATACTCTTCTATCAAATTAAATAGCTGCCATATTTAATGGCCGCCGTCCGGCGTTGTGAGTAGTTTTCAGCTACTTTCAAGTGAAGTTGAATTTCTATTTAAATCGTTTGTCACCTTGAAAAGTTTTTACTTCAATAATAATATGATTGAGGTAGGACAGTGCGTGTATGTAATATTCCTGTTTACACCTAAAATATATCTGTACAACGATAAAAGTATAAATTTATCCGCTCCCAAAATAAAAGACATCCACCATCACCGGAAGTCACGTGTAACCCCCAATAGTCAAAAAATATCATAAAGATCTAAGAGCTACGGTTCTGCAGCTACCTTACCATCGAGTTCGCAATTTACAGCGCGCCTCCGGAGATTGACACATTCCCGCACCTCACACTGGATTTGAATGAGTGGATTTTGACAGATAAGAAAAACCAAACCGGGTCCCAGGTGATAAATAACAACAAACGTTTAATCAGTGTTCAGTTAAATGAATTTATCAATATGTGACATTCAAATTGTGTAAAACTTCAAAGAATCCTTCGGTATGATCAACTGTTGAAAGTGAATGGATCGGTAATGTTATCGGAATTTTTGCTTTTACGATCGTTTTCAGTCAGTTTTAGAGGTAGATGGTTTGGATATGTGATTACATCGGAGAAATTTCTTATGTGTCTAAGATGTTCATCTTAAATCAATGATTGATCGGCAAGAAAACATTTGAATATTTTTGAAATCGAAAAGATGAGCAAGATGGCGGCTCCCAGTAGTTTGTGGTGTCTGGGATCATATTTTATTCTGTTAGCTTTAGATATTGTAATATGTGATTGTGTCAGTAAACTTCATGTTCCTCATTTAACTCCACCAGATTCTGTCATTATTACAATATCATCATTAGGTGACACACCATCATTAGTTAATCAACAGGAGATATCAGGAATATTTGACTTATCCAACACAGAATTCAAATCAAAAGGTGATCTTTCTGGATTTTTAGGAGGAACATTTGATATCATTATTAAAAGTGATGTGCATACTTCTGAACAACACCATCTCCTTGTTAAAGTTGACAATTCTTCAGAATTATTTTCATTCTCACATCATCAATATTTTGCATCAGTGCAAGAAAATTCAGCTCGACATACTAAATTAGATGTCATTGGAGATCTCTTTGTGAATTGTGATACAGATGTATCCTTAAGATTTGTTTTAGGTACTAGCGATAAATTTTATGTGAAACGTCACAAAAAAGGTGCTAAGCAATGTGTAGAAATATACACAAATGGACCACTGGACAGAGAAAAAAAAGATACATATTCATTACTGCTACAAGCAAAATCAAAGGATGGAAAAATTGCACAAACAGTCATTCATGTGTATATACAAGATGAAAATGACGAAATTCCCAAATTTAATCAAACAAAATATACCACAAATATACCCACTAGTTTGTTAGTTGGGAGTTCTGTTTTAAAGGTTCAGGCCATTGACAAGGACATTGGAACAGTTTCATATCATTTAGAGGGAACAACAGATTTCAGTATTAACTCAATGTCTGGAGATATAGTACTGTCTTCAAGTTCATATTCCGTTAAAGATCATAAATTCAGAGTAGTGGCTACTGATCAAGGTGGCCTTAAGTCATCAGCAAACGTTCAAATAAATATTTTGTCTGGAAATTTAAAGTTTATTCCACATCATCATTTGTCAAAACGGGCAGTAAATAGATTAGAGAGAAGTTTTGAAATTTTTGAAAATGAGGGTAAAAGCAAACCACTTTTCTCCATTGCTTCCCAGCTTACACCTTCAACAGGCATTGAACAGTACCACCTCATAGAGTCAACTGTTGACCTGTTTCAAGTAGATACAAGAGGAAATGTATTTGTTAAAGAAGGTCATACTTTGGATTATGAAGAAGTCGGTCACAGATCCATCATCATGAATTTTAATATAACTAATACTAACAGTCAGACAGGTAAGATATTAAGTTCAATACAATATACTTAAACACTCAAAATGTATATACATTATAGGAAATATTGTCAATCTGAATACATTTACAAGATCAGGAGATAATAAGATGACTAGAAATTTTCAGATCCAGATCCAGGATTTTGAAAAGGGGGGCCCACGACCCCCAAAGTAGACAAAATATGTAGTGGAACCGGTAAAAAGTCTGGATTGACCATAAATGAAGCTCCAAAAGGGGGGGGGGGGGGGGGGGGGGGGGCACGGGCTCCCCCTAAATCTGCCTCTGATGTTGCCCACATGGCAAGGCAAACATATTAAGATGACTAGAAATGTTGCCCACATGGTAAGGCAAACGTATTAAGATGACTAGAAATGTTGCCCACATGGTAAGGCAAACATATTAAGATGACTAGAAATGTTGCCCACATGGTAAGGCATACGTATAAGAAGACTAGAACTCTTGCCAATGAGGGTGTCCAAATTTTCCCAAACTCGCCTTTTGCCAAGTGTAAATTTTTTTCCATCTATTCAAATGGATTTAAAAAGTTTGATCTTGCAGGAAAATTGCCATAAGCATTGTCTTCCATGTACATTTGAACCCAGGAGGTTGGGTAAGACAGGAATATTTTTGTCTGTGAAGTGAACAGTGGAGGTAGACATCTGTGTGCCACAACAACCAAACTAAAAAGAAATCATTTAAAGGGGGTCTCACAGAGATAGGGCCTTTTTGTGCTAAGGCGTCATATAGCAAACATCAATCTAGGCATGTTAGAGGTGATCACCTTATGGTTATATGGGTATTAGCATTCACAAACTTTCATACCCATGTTTGAGTTGGGATTTCGCAAATACGAAAATGTTCCGGGCTATTTAACTTATCCTTTATATATTTCATACATACATTTATAACATACATGTAAAGTAATTTGTTTTTACACTGTTCATTTGTGTACAAACATGACACATGGCATACAAAAACACCTAAATAATTCTTGAATTTAAACAGACCTACATTTTTTAATGCAATGATTGTTCTGTACATGTATATAATTTATTTTATGATTGTTGAATTATCTATTCCTTTAACAAGTTATTAACTTTTTGTGCACTGCTTTACATGTATGTGTACATTATCGTCTACACCTAACTTGTATATAATGAATTATGATTGACATTTGAACCATTGTTTTTACTTTGGTAAATTAGTTATACACCTTGAATAGATTGTATAGTTAAGTCATTTCATGGTCAGATGGAAAGGCTTTGATTATAGTATAAATATTTGGATAATTACATCAGGCTTTACTTTGGGTTTTTACAGGGAAAATATTTTTATTATTTATATACAATGAATTTAAACAATGACATACATGATATAGCTAACAAATCAGCAAACTTTAATAGGCAAGAATTCATTTTGGATTTCACAACCATCTTCCATATATACAAAAGTACATTAATTTGTACATGTATATCTGTGTCTATAATTATTTTATTTAAGACGAACAGTTCCAAAAAGAATTCTTTCTTCTTGCATCTGGCTGTACAATATATGTACAATACTACATGAATGCATATATATATAGTTAAAAGTACCTGTAATTTTTATACGGCCGCAAAAAAATTTTGTGGTCGTATATTGGTATGGCGTCGTCGTTGTCCGAAGACACATTAGTTTTCGCACTCTAACTTTAGTTTAAGTGAATGGATCTCAATGAAATTTTACCATAAGGTTCAATACCACAAAAGGAAGATGGGGATTGATTTTGGGGGTTATGGTACCAACAGTAAAGGAATTAGGGGCCAAAAAGGGGCCAAAAATACGCATTTTTGTAACTTCCAGACATAACTTGTGTGTAAGTGTATGGATCTCTCTGACATTGTACCACAAGGTTCCATATCACAAAGGGAATGCTGGGATTGATTTTGGGGGTAATTGCCTCCAAATTTTAGGAATTAGGGGCCAAAAAGGGGCAAAAAACAAGCATTTTTCTAGTTTCATGACAATAACTTGTGTGTAAGTGTATGGATCTCTCTGACATTGTATCACAAGGTTCCATATCACAAAGGGAATGCTGGGTTTGATTTTGGGGGTAAATGCCTCCAAACTTTAGAAATTAGGGCCAAAAAAGGGCAAAAAACAAGCATTTTTCTAGTTTCATGACAATTACTTGTGTGTAAGTGTATGGATCTCTATGAAATTGTACTGCAAGGTTCCATATCACAAAGGGAAAGCTGGGTTTGAGTTTGGGGGTAATTGCCCTAAATGTTTAGGAATTTGGGGCCAAAAAGGGGCCAAAAAACAAGCATTTTTCTAGTTTCCAGACGATAACTTGTGTTGAAGTGTATGGATCTCTCTGAAATTGTACTGCAAGGTACCATACCACAAAGGGAAAGCTGGGATTGAGTTTGGGGGTGATGAATCATAAGGGGGTTCAAAAAATTTGGGGGGGGGATTTTTTTTTCTTTAAAATTTTCCATTTTAATTGGTTATTTCTGATTTATATATGAAAGCAAATAATAATGATATGGTTTGAATAGGTAAATTAAAAATTTTTAAGTTCTTAGACCACTTTCATTCTGTGTCAGAAACCTATGCTGTGTCAAATATTTAATTACAATCCAAATTCAGTGCTGCATCAAGCTTGAATGTTGTGTCCATACTTGCCCCAACTGTTCAGGGTTCGACCTCTGCGGTCGTAATTCAAGCTGCTCCCCAGCGGAGCATTTTATTAAATGTAACGTTGGAGTACTAATGACCATTTAAAATATCAGATTATACATGTACATGTACAGAAATTAGGCATCTGGTCAGAAGAAACTGCTGTAGAAAACTACAGTCTAGTCGTGAAAGTGCAAGGCGATAAAATAAAGCATACTTACAATCCTGTAAGACTTTAATTCCACTTCAATGTTATTATGAAAAATCAGTCTAACAGTTTGTATAGAAATTTTTTATTGTTATTGTCATGCTAAACATGCTAAACATTCTAAAGGAGATAGGTAGTAACTTTGAATTGCTATAAAAATGTCCAAACTAAGCTTTCATACAATTTTTTCTTTTTAAAAGTCTTCTTTATTCATAAGAATCAGACATCATTTGAATTAAAACATCGTATATTCAGTAAAATATATGTGAAATTACAATACATTGTTAATAAGTTTCCATAATAACATTCATGACATTGAAGTGGAATTAAAGTCTTACAGGATTGTAAGTATGCTTTATTTTATCACCTTGCACTTTCACACTTGACTGTGGTTTTCTACAGCAGTTTGTTCAAATTTCTGACCAGTTGAACAGTTTGGTTTTATAAAACAAATTGCAATTTGGTCAGAATTTTTAATAAGTTGCAATAGGTGGAGAGCAACATTAACAGTCAAGTCACAGTAATAGACCATTTCAGGGCAAATACATGTTGATTTGATGTTGCCAAAGCAACTTATTTTAATTTACACCAATAATTTTCCTGAATTCAGTTTGAGTTCTTTTACATGAGTATTATAAAAATGCTTGAAATGAATTATGTAACCATATTAAAGACTGTTTTTAAACTTTGTATTGATTTAAAAAATGCAGCCATGCACTTGATGACTCAATTATTTCTTTTTTTAAATTTCTTTAAATTAAAAAGTAAATATCACAAGACTCCCACTATTTGTCATGAAAATTGACAGAAGATAAAAAAAGGTGCAGTCATAAATGTCAAAGGCTAAAACAACACCATTGCCAAAGAAAAAGATGAAGAGACAAACAATGTCAAGTCCACTAGTTAAAACACAGGCAATCTTATAATTAACAAGCCATATAATTTACCCAGCTAAAAAGGGTGGAGGGGTATGAACTAAAGAGCCCTATTTAACCCAACTAAGAGATGGTGGTGTTGAACTCAAGAGCCATGATTGTAAAGGTTATTTGTCCTTTATGACTTCCACTATACTGGTACATGTACGTAGAAGTAGATTTTGTAGAAGTACCTTTAATATTGTACTTTGATACTATCAATGAGTCATTCACACTTTTTATGATGTAAATTTTAACATTATCAGAAAACTGAGTGAGATATGAAAATTCTTCCGTGCAATGTTGTCTGAAATCACCAGACCTTCATGTATCGATCTATCCTGTTGGGCATGTAACTTAAATATTAGATCAATCGAGTCTAGCACAAGTTTTGTTGGTCTATACATTACCAATCTTGCTTGTTTGAGTATCTGAAAGTTTAAAAATCTACAGCCTTAAAGAAGTGGAGAAATTAAGAATTGGATATTTTGTATAGACGCTTTTTGCTATTTAGCTGAAGACCATACATTCATGTTGACCTTTAGAACCATGTCTTCTGAATTCCAACCCTGTCTTATTGACATTTATAAAGATAAGATAAGATAAGATAAATTTTATTTCCAATAGAGGACCCATTATGGGCATAATCAGTACAGTGATTTTTGTCGAGCCTTCGACTTTTGTCGAAAAAGCGAGACATAGCGATCCTACATTCCGTCGGCGTCGTCGTTGTCGTCGGCGGCGTCCACAAATATTCACTCTGTGGTTAAAGTTTTTGAAATTTTAATAACTTTCTTAAACTATCCTGGATTTCTACCAAACTTGGACAGAAGCTTGTTTATGATCATAAGATTATATTCAAAAGTAAATTTTGTAAAAAAAAAATTCCATTTTTTCCGTATTTTACTTATAAATGGACTTAGTTTTTCTGCCAGGAAACATTACATTCACTCTGTGGTTAAAGTTTTTGAAATTTTAATAACTTTCTTAAACTATCCTGGATTTCTACCAAACTTGGAAAGAAGTTTGTTTATGATCATAAGATAGTATCCAGAGGTAAATTTTGTAAAAAAAAAATTCCATTTTTTCCGTACTTTACTTATAAATGGACTTAGTTTTTCTGCCAGTTAACATTACATTCACTCTGTGGTTAAAGTTTTTAAAACTTTAACAACTTTCTTAAACTATCCTGGATTTGTACCACACTTGGACAGAAGCTT